AAAACAGATGGTTTTTTCCAGTAGTACAATTTTATACGTCTTTCTTATCTTAAAACTTGATAAAATGGACAAATGAACAAAAAATGGTATTCGTCTTCAATATCTTCAGAGTTACAAATTCTGCATATACGTTCATTTCTTACAATGTTTCGATATCTCCCAGTTTCAATATACAGCGAATGCGCTGATAAACGTAACCTAGTTAGAGCAATTCTATTTCGCTTTGGAATATATTTACATAAATATTGTTGTAATGTTAAATTATCAACTAAATGTCTATACAAAAAACATTTCGAGGAATTCTCTAATAATTCAAACAATTCTTGCCGTGCGTTATCAAAGATTCTCTGTTTAATAATTGGCAGGGCTTCAGACGAGTTCACATTATTTTGATTCAGCCACACTTCGCCAAGACCGAGTGAAAAAAGTTTGTCTTTCACAAAAGTTACCCAATTAAAAACAGTATTTCGCTTTGGCATATACATGAGTTCATCATAGGCAGTTTTAAGAACACAGTTCTTAGTATTTAAAAGCTTGAACCAGTACTTAATTAAATTATAGTGTCTGGTATGTACAATCGGAAATCTACCCAATTCAAAATAGATCATTACATTACATGTTGACTTCTTAACACATAATATCCTTTTGCAAAATTCCAGGTGAACTTTCTCAATATCTATGCCTTTGCACGAGCCCCATACCTCAGATGCGTAACACAGTATACTGGTAACATATGTGTCAAAAAGTTTAATCAAAGTATGGCAGTTTAAATTCATATTTTTACATTTTGTATATAAGGCAAATACTGACTTTCGACCTTGCCCGGATAATTGCTTTTGTACAATATTAAATTTATTGTTCCATTTAAAATCAATACCTAGATAAGTAAACTGTTCAACGACTTCTATTTTTTTTCTATCGAAGAACCATTCCTCGTTATTTCGTAAGCGGCCTCCATTTCTAAAGACAACAATCTTAGTTTTTGCCGTATTAACGGTCAATTTCCATGAGTTCGCATATATAGACAAACTATTTAACATATTCTGTAGCTCATTGGCTGATTCTGCAAGTAGCACCAAATCATCCGCATACATTAATAAAAAGAGACTGAGTTCTCCAAAATCATACGGTTTAACACCGTTAGCAATAAAGTCATTTTCAAAGTCATTTACATACATTGAAAACATAATTGGGGATAAAATTTC